ACGCAATTTTGTGCTCTCAACAGAGCAGTTCCTGCATTGTAATAGTTAAAAACTTCTTTTATTTCTGGTGATTATCTTCCTGGGTGGATCAAGCTATTTAAGGAATGTTTGATGAAGGTCGAATCTTCCAATACTTCGGTTAATATAATTGAAACAAGAATTGAGACTCCTGTGTCTGTTGAGACAGGAAAACAGGATGGTGTTTTTTTCCGAAATATCTATTACTATTTTGAATCTGCACACCAAATACTTCTAAAATGCTCAGAAGGTGTGAACTCTTCCTTCTGATATGAAGAGCATCGGCAATCCAAATAATAAAGATGATGTTCGTCTAAAATTGATGTAAATCTGATGTTCTCTAAAATTCCTGCACGGTGGGGAAGAACAGCCTTTCAAACTGTTTTCCAAGTTATGCTTCTTCCCCACGTCCAGTCAGCTGGTTCACATACCATTAAAAAGATCAGGAAAGAAGGGTAGGGAGGGAAGGATAGAGTGAGAAGAAAGACTCTGCTAATCTTATTAGGCCCATTCTGCACCTCTTGTCCATAGGCCAGCTGGAGAAATGGTGGAAAATCACCATATCTTGAAAAAAAAGGGCTAAGACAGGTAATCCGTGTCTCCCAGGATGTAGCAAATTGAGGGAAAATATTACTGGGCACTTTTGCAAAGTGTTTTTGACCCCATGAGAAGGAAGGGTTTCAAGAGCCACCTGGACGCTGGAAGACCTTTTTTGCCCTTTGTCCACATGACCTTGTGCTTGTCCTTTTGGTACAAATGATAATTCCCAGCACAGACATTTTCACATTAATGGTCTCATAATTCCTCTTGAGAAGTGTCCTGTGCTGTTCCATGTATTTTTCATGTTTGCTTGTTCTTATACACTCCAGAAGAAGACTGGGGAGGTTTATGTTGTCTGCAGCTGGCCTAACTGGCCCAAAGTGTTACTCGGCATGTTACTGAGACACTTGCCTCTTCTTTTTGCTTTGGTAGTTGTCTCAACATTTGCTTTCTCTGTGTCTGTTCTCTTCCAAGTCTTTTTACAGCTCCTCTTGTCTTTCATCAGTGGCAGAATGGCTGATGTCAGGAGTAAAACTCCGCTTCCTTTCCCTCCCCACCTTCTCTCCCCTGCCCCGTTGTGTAGTTTTTCTGCCACACGTCTTGTTCATGGGATGGAAGGATGCCAAAAGACAGTAGAGTGTGGGCTTGGGCGCTTTCCTGTAGGTAGTCCTTCCCTTATCAGATTCCTGTTTCCTGATGCTGTTCTATGACTTACTCCTGGGGTAAGTCTGTCAATATTATTTTTTCGATAAACCTTACCAGAATGACATATCCTATCCGTTCTCTACCCCAAGTTGTTTGCTGCTTGCTAGTTTTTCTGGATTCTGCATACATTATCTTACTGTGGGGAGCATGAAATTTCATTATCTTTGTATATGCTTGCAAAGCTACAGATGCTGTTAACTGATAAAAGAATTATCTAGCCCTTTCTGTCAGTTGTGATCACAATATTTGTTTCTTGTAATCACTCATCACAGAATTTATCAATTGACTTCTCGGTGTGTGACGTTAAATATACTGCACAATATTTGCTGTTTTTTTTTTTTTCCCATTTGTTCTTACTAATCAAGAAGGTTAAAGAGAAAGCCGACTAGCTTTCCTATGGGCTTCTAGATTTGTCAGTATTTCGATCTCATCCCATCTAGTAATTCCTTCCAGGCCAGATAATCCTGTGCGGTATCTCCTTCGATATAGTATGTGAGTATTGACATACCTTTGACCATGTGGATTGTACTTCTGTAGGCTTTGTAATCACTTTATCTTATTTGGGTTAAGGCAATCAAATCTGTGTATAGCACTGTATTGTCAAAGGTTATGGTGGTGTAATAGTTCACACGTTGCTGAACAATCTAGGAGAAATTAAATGAGCTAGTTTTGCACTCTGGCAATTGTGCTGCTTGGGAAAAGACTTCCTTTTTGATTTGTATGTGAAGATTTGCAGTTTCTCTCTAAGCATTTGAAGCTATTTGAGACTCTCCTCAATATTCCCTAGAATGCTGTATGTTTTGCTGAGGTACTGAAGAGATTTCAGGTTTTCATTGAGTAAAATAGCAAAGTGAGGGAAAGCTTGTGCTTCTCTTGTTTGCTTTCAAGCGCAAAATATACATAGCATAGTTAGAGCAAATTACACCATAAGTGATGGTATATGTGTGTACGATTGGCTCTGTGGTTTGGTGTTCAGTAGCATCCTTTACAGCAAAAAACACATGAGGGGAAGGGGAGATTTGGGGCGTTCTTTGTGGGATGAGAATTTCTGTTATGAAGGAGGGAAATGAGACAACATCCTCTGAGAGGAAAAATCTAGTAAAATTTTTGGTCTGTTGATCCATGTCAACACAGGGAAGGGATCCAGTGATGTCACTCTGGTATAACTAAATACCAAGCAACATTAAATAATTAATAATTATTATTATATGATGAAAGAGAAATGAATAAGACTTTTTCTGCTTTTACTCTCCAAGACTCTGTTGTGCCAAAGATGGAGGGAGATGGAAGCTTTGAGAATAAATAGCAGTGAGAGCATTTTTACAGCATGGTCACTGTGTATAGAAAATGAGACTGGGAGAATAAAGTGTCAGAAAAAGCTTTTTTATTGCAAGAATTCTCACTACCTTTAGTGGTATGGTTGCATGGCATCTACTCCAAAACTAATGAAAGTATTTCACATTTTGTAGGGACATGAGTGAGAATAGAATTTGTCCTGGCACCTGGGGTAATAATGTAAAATTTTAGCATCAACACATGTTTTAGTGAGAAGAAAAAAAAAAAAAAACACGAGTAACATATAGTCACTCAGTAGAATGATTTAAAAAAAAAAAAAAAAAAAAAAAAAGAGAACAAACTACAAAACCTGAGGAGCGCTGGAGTGGGGGATAATAAAATTGGACTGAAATGTAAACTGTGGCAGCTCTATTTGGTATGGGCTGCCACCTTGTGGAAGTCTTTAGTATGTCATATCTCTCCAAATCTCTTGCAAGTCTTCCCAACTACTTCGTTCTCTTCAATCAGTGCAGATAAATTTGTTTGCATAGATCAGGCCTGGCGATTAATAGTATTGCACTAATGCATGTAGTCGGGATTGTACTCACAGCATGCACTTTGGCATGTTAACCCTATCATTGCGGTAGCTGGAAGGGAGTTATCACTACATACAGGTGACATGGTTTTCTTCATTAAGGCTTTGGACTTTATAGGAGGAAAGGGTGAATGTGGATGTGCTTTCTGCCTCAGCTGGCATACCTCCTCATTTCTCATGTTAAAGAGCTCTTCTCCAAGGTATTCAAATGTCTGCTAGAGTTGTGTGTGCTCATAATGTATTCTCTTTATCTGCCTGGGATAGCACAGGTGTGTTGATAATCCCTGAAAATAATTTTGCAAATATTAAGCATGAAATGCATCGTCCCAGCTGGAAGCACTGTGGAAAAGTATGGGAGCTATAGATGACTAGACTTTTGCCCAAAGCAAGATGTTTTGCTCATGAGTTTACCAAAGTACCAGGGTAGGATACCACAAGTAACTCTTATTTATGTAAGATTTTTCCGTTTTTTTTTCTTTTGTGAGACAAAGATGTTGGTAAGGGTTCCTATCTTTCTTCTAGTTCTTCTGCTATTATCCTCAGTTCATTGTAATGTTTGATTCTGAGATCTTGCCCTTTATCGTCTGATTTTCCCTTGATCCCATGTGTTCCTTTTACTTGTCTGTCCTCTATAAGCCTTCTGCTCTCATCTTTCTGTTTTATCTGCTATGAGCTAGTGCTGTTGTGCTGACAAGTCCAGAGTTTACTGCCCATTTCCAAAATGCTTGAGCTAGGGTATGAAAAATCAAGCAGTAAATCTGTGAATAACCTTCTAACTCTGAATTCAGCTTCTGTAGGAAAGTTTCAGTGAAGAGTATTATTCTTAGGTAGGGGTGATAGAAACTTCTTTGGAAACATTTACAGTATTCTCCATGAGCTGTCATGAAGTTGTCAGCTGAAGTCAGCTGTAGCTATCAGCTATCAGCAATGTATGGCCTTGGCAGCTTAGAAATGCTATTGGTAATTAAAACGTGGAATGTATCGTGTGCGGTGAGAGTTGCCTCTAATCTAATGAACCATCAAGCTCCCAGCCTGAACAACCACTTGCAGTTCTCATCTAGCAGTTGAAGAAGCTGAGCCACAGAATGGATTCCTGAGAGATCTTGAGATGCCAAAATTACAGCAGTTCAAGGATAGAGTAGATGAAATTTAAAGCAGGAGTGATAGGATGACTGCTCTGTAATTTGCAGACAGTTTAAACCTCTGGTGACATCCAGAGTGGCAGCAGAATCTGATCAGACTGCTTCTGATTTCCCTGCACACTGACCTTATTGAAAACTGGGAAACAACAGTAGTGCCATGAGAATTCATCCCAAATCCAGCCAGTGGCCTGGCTTGCCCTATGGTGGTGGGTCATAGGGCAAATATTTATTGGAGTGATAATACTGATTGCAGTTAGCCTCAAAACTTCCTGGCCTGTCATAGGCTGTGGAACTGTGGGGTGGTTCCTCTGATGCAAATATGAACAGACATGATGTGGAACAGGGCAAATATGTACTACGGGGCATTCCTTTGAATAATGTTCTTTTTTTCCTTCCTACAGAAAAACTGCATTGGGTTGTGCTGCTGGGAAATCAGTGGGTAACCTTGCATTTTGCTTACTGAATCTTTAAAAACAGAGTTGTGCCATTGTAGAGGTTTTGTCAAGGGCTTTTGTAGAGGTTATGAGTATAGGTTACTTGCTCAAGTCTAGGTAAGAACATTTAATTTCATTTTGTTTCAGCACCAACTCAGTGAGATCACTGGAATGAGAATACCTGAGAATTTTCTCAAGAAATTCTCTCCTCTCAGAGTAGGGGGAAGGAGCCAGCGCCATTTATTTTAACACTAAAGTCTTTCTTTTTATTTTATTTTTATCTCTTTACAGTTATGTGGCTGTGGACTGCTGGGCGTGGGAATCTGGCTGTCAGTGTCCCAAGGAAACTTTGCCACATTTTCTCCCAGCTTTCCGTCACTTTCAGCTGCCAACCTAGTCATTGCTATTGGCACAGTCATCATGGTGACCGGCTTTCTGGGCTGTCTAGGTGCTATCAAGGAAAACAAGTGCCTCCTTTTGAGTGTAAGACATCAATGCCTTTTCACTAAGACCAGTGACCTTTGTTTTGTGAATATTTTATTTAAATGACCAGTACAGAATAGTCCTGTGCATCGCTACTATTGCTTCTGGCTTTCAACATTCTGATTCTCACAATAGGGCATCCCACAGGCTTGCAGTAATATCACTGATATAATGCAAATGTATTCTTGTTATTGTGCACAACGGTATATTAGATAGCAAAACAAATTGTAATCAGGTGCCTCTGAAGAGCTAAACACGAACCGTAGGACTAATTTGATGGTCCTTCTGGAAATGTCTATTAGAAGGATTGTTCGACAAATCTTAAGCACAGCTGCTTGCTTTGGGATACCACTCACAGACGTTCTCAATTTTGCCCTTTTCTAAGGTCTGTGTCAGAGGTTATTGGGAGCCATCTGACTCAGGATTTATAAATAGGTGGCTGTATATAGATAGACAGATAGATAGATAGATACATTTATAAAATTGAGCCTTGGTAATCTTTATCTAACAGTGAAGCACAGAGGCGGGAAGTCCTCTCAGAAAATACGCTTTTCTGTCAGAAGACTCCCCAGTGTGTCATCTGCAATTTTTTATGTATAGCAGTATCAAAAATTTTTGGAGACTTCTGTAGCACGTTGGAAGAAGTAAAAACATATAGAAGATGTATGTCAGGAAAGAAAAATCCTCTCAGCGAGGTATGATGGGGGAGACATCCCACATAAAGAGTTTGGAGAGGATGAAATATAAAAGAGGCCCTCTTGGTTACCAGAGTTTCTAAGGAAAGTCTGTGAAAACTACATAGGATAGCTCTTACTGCTTCCAGTGCCTGTTATTGTGGCTCTTTCACGGTGGGATTTAAGGGATTTAAGTCTGTGAATTTAAGGTTAGATTGTCATGCCCACTGTCTGTCATATAGAACCCCCGGGGCTGCTCTGTATTTGACAAGTGTGTACACCAAGTTTGCTCTTCTTTGTTCTAGTTTTTCATCGTTTTGCTGATAATTCTCCTGGCAGAGCTGATACTACTCATTTTGTTCTTTGTTTATATGGACAAGGTAAGTATATAGTTTGTATTATAGATAGATTATAATTTCTAGCAGATAAACCATAATCTGTTTGCTTTCTAGCAGGTAAACCATATTCTGTTTACTTTTGATTGATGAAGGTATGTGGTTTCTCTTTGCTCTTCACTTGATCTGTTTTATGTAAGCTCTTTCTGGAGGGTGAAGGGGACAAATAGGAGGAAAGATAATCTGTTGAATTTTGCAGTTTCCTCCCCCAGAACGCAAATCCTCCTGGGCCTCCTTTTTAGTCTTCTCCTGAAAGCAAGGATACACTTCGTTATAGCTTTTTGCTGTCTGCACAAGAAACTGAGCACCTTGTGGACCTCAGTCATGGGAGAGGGGCTACATTATGCCTCATTAGCTTCTTAGGGTCCACCATCCCCATTAACAGGACTGGAGGAATGAAACATGGACTTTTCACAAACGTTTCCATATGCACTCCAGGCAACAGGTGACTTAGAGTTTGACCAGGGATAGAGGCCAGAGGAAGAAGGAGCTCATAAAGCCCATGTGTAGGAAGGTAGCTTGTTATGTAGTAGAGATTAAGAAAAGTGAGTATAAGTAGCTGATCTAGGAGATGTGTATGATTGGAAAAATCTTCAGAGAACTGTAGAGCTCTGCTGTGCAAAGGACAGATCCTTAGTAGACAGTCTTATCCAGCCTGATTTTAAAACAAAGCTCCATCAGATTTGTATCTCTTTCCATGTTTTCATGATGCCTGCCTCTTTCAGGGAGCTGGGGTGAAAAAGGCGTGAAACAGTTCCTATGAAACAGTTAACCTTAACAGCCAGGTTAGGTTAATCCTTGCTCTACTGCCAGCTCTCTATTGAGTTGCAGGGTGTTTTTTTAGCGTTTTGCCAGACTGCCCTTGGATTTGGCTGACAGAGCCAAGGTGCCTCTCTCTTTGCATCCTGGATTGCAGGCTTGGACTGAAGTTGATACAAGAAATGGAACACACCAGGTCCTGTGTCAAGCATACCAGATTTCTTTTCTAAAGAAAGATGGGCAGACTCATAAAATGCTAATGCCTACAAGCCTGCTCCCATGAGGAGAACAATAATACCCTTTCCAGTTAGTTTTGTGTGGGTAATTGACTATAGCCTTCTTGAATCTGTGCAAGAGACAACTATGTAATAACTGGGACGTTGGGACTTTCATTTTAAGCAAATGAAAGTAGTGTTAGAGTCTGGAAAAGTGATAGAAGGGTATTCTGTACACAGGTCTGCACCATTGGATCCGTTCCTCAAAATAGCAGTGCACTGACTTGCTCTGTTTTTTACATGATGCAGGTCAGTGAGAGCGCAAGGACAGATCTAAAGGAAGGTATGAAGCTGTACAATTCAGAAAACAACGTTGGACTGAAAAATGCATGGAATATCATTCAAGCAGAGGTAATGGAAAAAATAACAATTTGACCATAATAGGCTGTCTCATTCTTTTGGCTGTGGCAACTGTGCCCCATCTAAAAGACAGATAGTGCAGGCATTTATTTCTGGTTTTGAGCATGCAGGGACATCCTGAAACCCAGGAACAAGTGTATCTGAAAGGTGAAAGGGGCTCACCTTTCTTAGATTCACTGTGTCTACCACCTGAAAGGATGATTTGAGTAAGCTAACAAGGAGCAAAATCTGCGAAGTTCAGAACCGCAGCTCGAATACTAGCTAGGCTTTGTCAGGTCTGCAGTTGTGGACAGATTGGGATTATGTCTCTATGACAAGAATGACTCACACACCCTGGGTGTGGGACTATTTGGGTTTGGGTTTTTTTAAGTACTTGCTTTTAGTGAATGCTGGGCACAAAGTCCTTAAAAATGCAAGTGTTATGGGAGTCCTGTTGAGAATATACCATGATTTACTATAAATAACCTTATGGTGGTATTCATTTTTCTGTGATGCTAGTTAATAAGTTCATTAATTGACCCTGTATTTCTTCCATAGATGAAGTGTTGTGGTGTGAATGACTTTACAGACTGGTACCCAGTACTGGGAGAAAACACTGTCCCAGACAGATGTTGTACAGAAAACTCCCAAGATTGTGGTCGGAACTCCACTGAATTAGTGTGGAAAACGGTAAGGCTCACTTTGCTCCAATTGTAGGCTTTGGGAAGAGTGGGAAGGAAGAAAAGAAATAAAGGGCATGTAAAAGAAATGTGACCTTGAGAATACAATTTTCATCTTTCAGGGTTGTTATGAGAAAGTTATGATTTGGTTCGATGAGAATAAGCATGTGCTTGGCTCGATTGGGATGTGCATCCTCATAATGCAGGTAATTGCAGTATGGTATTTATCAACATGGCCTTAATTTGTTACTGTCAGCATTCTTGTCTCTACTGTGTAAAAAATAAAGGTCCTCATCCATTCTGAGTTTGTTCATGTTTACAAAAATGTTGGATTTGTTTTACTAGTCCATTTGAGGTGATCTACTCAGAAAGCAAGTAGATCGGCTGTCAGACCTTCAAAGAAGACAAGTTACGGTGGGATTTTGCTTACGTGCATTCAACTTCAGAGTATTACTTTGGAGTTTCCAGGTTTAGCCTTGCCCCTTAGGGAAATATTATTTTTCAGTTTTGGAATTCCATTCTGGAAATTGTCAAAATGAGTTAAATAATGGCCACTGAATTGAGTAGGTGAGGTAAAAAAAATGCAAAGGATCATCATCATCATCATCTGTTAAGGTTCTTTTTTGTCTCCAGAATAACTATGTTTTTGGGGAGGTGGAGAGGGGTTGGGGGAAAGAGGAGAATGCCATATATTTTCAGTCACCAAGCAGAAACCCTTGAGTAAAAAGGAAGGGTGATTTTTCATGTGTCAATTCTGAAAAATTGTTGCACATGAGAGAAAGAGCCCTAAGAACTCTTTGTCTCCGTCTATGCTTTTAGCAGATGTATTTTGAGACATTGCTGCATGCTTGAACAACATAGGCCCAAGTTTATTTGTCAGTGTTGAAGCTCTGGGCTTAAGAAATGTGACTAGAGTAGAATGACTTTTAGAAGTCCAGTTGGACTGTGTCAGCAGTGCAGTTTTGGCAGTCTCTCTGTACTGAAATCTTCCCTGTTTGCTTTCCTTCAGATACTTGGCATGGCCTTTTCCATGACACTCTTCCAGCAGATTCACAGGACTGGCAAAAAATATGATGCCTAAAACCTCTGAAACATTAATCACATCAGCCCTTCTATCCCACCATACAAACAAACAAATGGAATGATCATGAAGAGTAACCAGCCTGGCCCTGCTGAGAGAATCCGTCCTATTGACTGATTGACTTCATCATTATTTGCCGATTATCGTCACAACTTGTGACTCATTTTTGTCTGTTTCACATTTGCCATTTTTTGCCAAAGAGGGGGTGGTGGTGGGGAACCCAGACAAATGGGTTTCTATACTAAGTCATAGATCTGCTATTGGAATATTTCCTTAACTTTATTTAAGAAAGTGTTTTGCTATACTAATCCATACTATATGCGCTCAAATGATGTATATTCAACTTTAAGAGAGAATTCTACAAAGTCTTCTGTTTCAACCTTCAGGTCCAACTTACTGGAAGACTTGGAAAAGCCACTCAAACTGAGAGTTCTAAAAATTGGAGCTGCTTGGTTTGCAGCTTCTTGTACCTTATGGTATATACTTTTTTATTATGATAATGATTATTATGATGATGGATGTAGCTTAGAATTTAGTTGCCTGATTTATAACTTTTTACAGTTTCTGTTTTTACACATTTATTGTACATTAATTTGGGAACCACTGTGCGATCTCCAGAGGACGTGTTTTTCCAAGTTAGCAGTTGTTGGGGGTAAATAAAGACATGTTTTTTCTCCACAGTGGCCCTTTCAAATCAGAGGGTCTTTTCCTTGGACAGAAGGCAATGCCCTCTCATTGGGCCAAATGGCAGCTTCCATTTCCAGTGAGGCTGAGTTCGAATGGGTTCTACCCACACAAAGCAATCTCTTAATGTAATTGATCTCCCTCACTTGAGTGCTTTGATGCCACCCTACTTCAAAACGTAAGAGTATTTACTGAGCAAGTAGTTGCTCCCTGGCACAAAGGAGAGAATTGCAGTTTGACCTGCTGGGGAGTTGGGAGGAGACTTTGCAATCTGTGCTGTCAAAATGCTACCCAAGGCACGATACGCTGATTTGTTGATGCCCTTGTCATGCCATGCCCTTCATTGAAAAAGTTTCCTCAGAAACATGACAGCTGTTTCCCTGAGATGACAAAGTGGCTTTGGACAGTGAGGAAGGTAGGGCTGATTACAGGTGAATAGGTATTTAAGAAAGGGATGATTTCTGAAACAAATATTGGAGCCAATATTTGTTTTCACGCTTCCAGCATAGAATTGGTTCATGCTGGGCAATTGTCAAGTCCATCCAGTGTGGAAGTTGAGAGAGGCTTAGTTTTTACCAACATTACTCCTAGCAAACTTGAATATAGCTGAAGGCTCCTCGCTGGCACAGGGGATCGTCTCTTAAAGAGAAAATTATCCTTCAGGATCCAGTGCCAGACCTCATTTTCTTTCAGTTTGAATGCCACTTCACTGCAAGCAGCCCCCATTTCCATTTTGTTTCAGGTTTTTGTAGAGATCTTAAGTTTTGTTTTCTTCCTTCAGAAAGCAAAATAAACCATTGGAGAAAGGGGACTGTGACCCATTTGAGATGGGGTTGATTTTGACGTTATGGCACTGAAACTGCTGAGGATGGTGATTTTGTGCTGTTGTGGTGTCCCTTTCAGTGCCGTGCCATGCCAAACTAATCTGGTGAAAAAGGTTTCTCTTAATGTTTGCCCTGAATAATTTTATTTTAAACTCTTAAAATACATTGTTTTCAATGTATCATTCAGCCCGTCTTTTGCTGGTGGGCTGAAATAGCTCTTGAACCAGTTCCTATCTGGGAAATGTTGGCTCACTGTTTGTCTTTCTACCAGGTCCTGCATACATCTGTACATCTGGAAACAGTAATGTTTTGTGTGGACTGTATGTCACTTCCAAGTTCCTATGGGGTCAGTGTGACAGGAAGTAGTATAGGGGATGGACATGAATTTGGACATTGCAGTGAAAAAGGAGGTTGTTATTCTCAGAGCATGGCATTTGCCCATATGAACGTGGTTTCCAAAGTTTCTCAGGCCTCTTGATTCCAACAGAAGCAGACAGCACCATATGGGCTCATCTATTTCATTTGTATTGTCTTTGAAATAGTCAGAAGAGGAGTGGAGGAAAGCACAGAAACAGGATCTAAGTTTACTTCCATTTCTAAAAAAAAAAAATTGGGACCAGGAGCATCTGAGCCCCACTGGAGATAGATGTTCCATGTTGAAGAAGGGGCTCTGATGCCCAACATACTTGCTGCTACGTCTGAGACTGAATCCAAAGTTACTAAGATGTGTTCCCATTTTTGCAAGACACAATGATTTTCATTTGATGTATTCACTGCTTTCACCCTTTGGACAGAGGTGCTTAGCTTTTTTTTTTTTTTTTTGGAAAGAGGTGCTTAGGTTTCTCTGTCTTTCTCTGGGGTTCAAAAAAAAGCAGAATTGACCAGGAGCATTCACATCTGTCCTTTTGGGTCGCACAATGGTACCTGCCACATCTTAAATTTTAATCTGCAGTCAGTTTTTGTACAAAAATGGTCAAATATATTAGTGAAATAATAAGGAAGTAAAATACGTTTATGAGTAACTCAAGAAATGAAATGTGTAGTTGCAAACTCAGCTTTTTTGCCTCCCATACAATGATATTTTTCTAGACTACTTCATAATCTGATAGCAGCGTAGATCCCAAAATCTTCTTCTCAGTGACTACCTTTGGCATTTTATTAAGCAAGATAGTTACACAAGCTTCATTTATATATGTCTACAAGATCACCTACAGGAAGGGAGTCAAGAGAAGGGCTGATTGTGTTCCTAGATGGCTCACTGATGTGGGAGGAGATGACTGGCATCTCTTGATGAAAGGAGTAGAAAAGATGCCGTTCTCCAGGCAACAAAAAGCAGCCTTGGAAGGTGTGAGGCTCCACTAGTCAGCCGGTCAGAGAAGAAACTACCTGTCCTGTATACGCTTGACCAAAGGAAGTTCTGCCCTCATGTGCGTATGCACTTTTTTTGCTTATGCTGGTGAGTGGCCGTCTCTGTTCTCCCCACATGTCACTCTAGTTACTTAACTACGAGGCTCTAGCATGTTTTTAAATAAAACCTGATACTGAGTAAAAGTATTTTTACTGTACCCAAATATTGATTTGCATTTGCATAAATGCATACCTCTGTGTTCTAGCTTTTAACATTTCAAGTCTGTGGAAGTGCCGTTTCTCTATTACTTTAGTATACCTGCTGTCTCACTGTGCTTCATGCTTGGAAGCATGCTTGGAACAGAACTTAAGCATAGATCTACTGGGAGAACTGAGCCAAAAGAAAGAAAGAGAGGAAGGTTGGCTGTGAAAGTACTGGGCATAGGGCACCTCTGCTCAAAGGCTGCAACAGTAATAATTTCATTGCCTCCTGGTAGTAAGGCATTTGTAGAGAGCCCAGAGGAAGGGCATTGAAAAGAACCCTCTGCCATGGCTAAGTGGCACATGAGATGATAAGAACAATGGCATCATCTCTCCAGGGTGACAGATGATGTGAATGTTTTGCACTGAGTTCTCAGACTATGCTCATGTTAGGCTCACCTGCCTGATTTCTGCCTGGCATTAAAACACAAACTCACACATAGGAAGGGTGCAGGTAGAGGACAATGGAACTAATCCCCCAGTCCTTCTCGGGAAGTGTGTTGGGAAGGCAAAGGAAAGGCAAGGGTGGGAAAACTGCTTTCCTAGCAGAGAGTTATTGGGAAGCAGGCCAGAGCAGAATGGAGCAGGGCATGCTTATAATCCTGATGTAAATTCTTTCCAAAGAGTTGAGCTGCTTCTTCCTGTAGGTCACATGCGGAAACCTGGAGATATTTGGCTATGTGTTGGCCATCTGTGGCCACCTGTTGTGCAGTAGATAATAGACACTAAGAGATGATGTGCCATTCCTACCAGGTAATGTTTAAACCAATGTTCCTTCTAAAATTTTACCTACTTTAGCCTTTATACAAAAGATTTTTATTCGGATGATATAATAATAAAGGATTTTTTAAAGGTGCATCTTTGATCTCATTTCTCCCTGACTCCCAACTACCTAATACCAAAAGAGGAAGAAAAAAAAAAAAAAGTGACTTCTAGAGAGCCATTCAACCTAAATTTCTCTATGGTGCTACAACAGATATTTGAATGAATGGGTAAATATAGAGCCCCTTCAGGGGCTTAAGGGGAGTTGAAAGACAGGAGGAGGGGTGGAAGGAAAGAAGTTTGGGTGATTGGAGAGGTAGTGGCTGAAAGGAAGAGGGCTGGGGTTGGAGAGGATGACAGGGGAATGGGCAGGAGACATAGGAGTCAGGGTTAGAATGAGTTAGAGCATACATGTGTAAGTGTAAGCTGGTACCTATGACTTTTATGGCTTGCAGTTGAAAGCCTGAAAGGAGAAGATGAGCTGAAGAGTTATGTGGGTCAAGCAGAAGAGGACTGGACCTGGAGCTTGTACAGTGGAAGCTGTAAGTTTCCTCCACTAAAGCTGGGGGGAGAGAGAGAGAAAGAAGGTGAGATGAGAAAGAAAGGAACTGGGTGGTCTGAATTGAAGTGGAGAAGAGCTGGATATTTTTTGGTGAAGGAGAGGACTGGTGCTGAAGCATATGTGCTTTGAGTGACTAGAACTGAGGATGTTTGTCAGAACGAAGACTGGATCTGGAGAAATGTGAGTTGAGAGGATTGCAACTGGAATGAGAGTGAGAAGACTAGATTGGATAAAGAGAGAAAGAGGAGTGAAAATAGAGGTTGTGTCCTGAGAGGAGGAGGACCAGAACTTGAAACAGAAGGAGGCATCTGTGTAGGGGTGAAGATGTGAGCCGAGAGCATAGGACCCAGTGGGCATATACCTAAGAGGGAGGGTGGATTGGAAATGGAAAGTATATGCACTGAGGGAGAGAGGGACAAGAAGTACAGAATAATGTGAGATAAAAGGTAAGAGATTAAAGCAAGAGGATATCTGTTTTGAGGGAGACGCCTAACACTCCAGAAAAAACAGTCATAGAATCGTTAGGGTTGGAAGGGACCTCTAGAGATCATCTAGTCCAACTCTCCTGCGCACACAGGGACACCTAGAGCACCTGGCACAGGGTGGCATCCAAGCAGGTTTGGAAGATCCCCAGAGAAGGAGGCGCCACAACCTCTCTGGGCAGCCTGTTCCAGTGCTCCATTACCCTCACTGTTAAACAATTTTTCTGTAAGTTTCTGTGGAGCTTTTGGTGTTTCAGTTTGTGGCCATTACCTCTAGTAGTGTCGGTGGCCACCACTGAAAAGAGGCTGGCCCCATTCTCTTAACCCCCCTCCCTTGAGGTATTTTTATACACTGATCAGGTCCTCTCTCAGCCTTCTCTTCTCCAGGCTGAACAGACCCAGCTCTCTCAGTCTCTCCTCGTAGGGCAGATGTTCCAGGCCCCTGATCATCCTTGTAGCCCTGCACTGGACTCTCTCCAGCAGCTCCACATCCCTCTTATACTGTGGAGCCCAGAACTGGACACAATATTCCAGATGTGGCCTCACCAGGGCTGAGTAGACGGGCAGGATCACCTCCCTCGACCTGTTGGAGACACTCTTCTTAACGCACCCAGGATGGCATTGGCCTTCTTGGCCATGAGGGCACACTGCTGCCTCATGGTCAACTTGTCTTCCACCATGACACCCAGGTCTTTCTCCGCAGAGCTGCTCTCCAGAAGGTCAGTCCCCAGCCTGTACTG